CGAGACAAGCCTCAATACTCGTTCTTCGTTGGTCGTTTAAGGCATTAAATCTAATTTTCTTAGCGTTTTTAACTGATCAATGCGTATCTTTTGTATTAGTGAAATCCTTAACTTTGCTTAGAGTGTAGAATAAATTAATTTTATTACACAAGTCTGCTGAAACACGATACCTCAGGAAAAATTAAATAGAATTTAATCCATGAAAATGATTAATTTCACTGCTCTTAGCATAAATATCTATAGGTTTTGTGAGACAAATGCCTAAAAGTATACCATGACTTCTAGCAAGTCAGCCTGGTTTATATACAAAATTTTGAATCTCTGGTCCTAACAGTGGCCCTGTTGTTTATAGAAATCCATTGTTCAGGAAGATATGCGATCTGAGCAAGTAATTCCAGGTACTTAATGCCTTTAGATAAGTGTCATAAATAGTTAGAAGTTATTCTAATTGCAGCAATATTTAGGACAACCAATGACCTAAAGATATTTCATCCAGGAATACTCAGATCATTGCAATTATGATGCCTTAGCAATATTAATGACGTAAGGTTAGGAGCTCGAGTTTGCTACTACTGCTATCAATTGCAAAATCGATTATTGCTTCCAACTTCCTGAGCCATTATATTCATAATGAAGTCGCTACTCAGCACTAAAAATATTCAGTCTGGTTATTAAAGAAAACTGATGTGCATTTTCGACTAGAACTGGTTAGATCTATACTTAAAATCCCCTAATTATAAAAAATAAGAGAATTTATTATTTGAGGGACAAGTTTAAGATAACTAATCTACCCACTATACTTGCCTCAAATTTGGAACGTATTCAAATAAATGAGGAGTACTTTCTTAAATTTTTGATATCAATCACGAAATTAATCAAGAGCTGCATTTTCTCTTGTTTCGATCGCAGATACAAAAGCCTAAAACACAAAAGTATGTAGCTTTTCTTAGTTCATTTATAAATGACGTCCAGATCGACTGCAGAAGAAATGAGCGCATCATTCTTAGAATCAATAAATTCTAGTCTCTAGTATACTTTCTAAGAATGCTGCGTAAACGAGAAGAAAAAAACTTTACTCCCAAATTATTTTTATGTTCATATACAGGATATAAATTTGATCTATTTCAACCGAGTATATATGATCAAGAAGTTCTGTTTAATCTATCTAGTCTATCAATCGACTTTGCTGATTATACAAAGTAATGTAAACTGGAAAAATTCCCCTTAACCTTTAATGATATCATATTAGCAAATTATATAAAGTTAGCACGTAAAAAATAAATTTACGTTAAATGTCACAGTACCTTCATTATCTGCAGACCACTTTCAAGATCACCCGCCACTGTTCCAGGCCCTTCTGCTGCAAACCTGTTGGCTAAAAGCATCATCTCTTCACGAAAATGTTCTATCTGCTGCTGTGCTATTCGTGTAAACCGTCGCTTCACAGGAACTAGCTGGCGTTCTACTTCACGGATAAGCTGACCCAGATTAGCCCATTCCTGCCGCAGAATGAAGTCAACTTCATCACTAATCCTAGATTTTCCTTCTTTCCCATAGCCTAGTTCCTTATCATCCTGCCGCGGTTGTGTCTCCTCTTCCTCCCCTTCATTTAACTCCATCCCATCTCCTGAATGGCCCTCGTCCTTCGATTCCTTCTCATTTGTATGAGGTCGGCTTAATCCCCTAGACAGGTGTGGCACTGGTAGCCGGTAGTTTCGTAGAATACACACCGCCTCATTTATCTCGTCGAGCCCAGTCTCTATTGTCATGCCGGAACTGCGTGTATCATAAATGGCCTTGAGTACCAACTTGAGTTCATCCAAGGTAGTTGGGTGGGTAGAAATTTCAGCTTTCCAGGTCTAGTAATGGTGATGTGGGTTTATGTTTTTTAAAATAAAGGTATGAAAGCATTGTTAGAGTTAGCTAAAGCTTTGTAAACGAAAGCATAATACGTCATAGAATAAAAAGATTTAACTCAGACTCATCTAGACCGAACTCAAGGGCTTGACAAATAATAGGATATACGGCAACGATAATACTCAAAGAATAAGTGTGAACGAGTAGCATCCTGTTTTGAGAAATACACATTTTTGCATTAATCTGAAGCAATTCAAACCTATGTATCCACTCAAGACGTAGATTGTGAAAGGCAACCTCTTGCACAAAATATAGTGAATACAAGCCTTGGTAAGCATCATACGTAATGAGATTTAACCAAAAGTTGTCAGCTGCACAGTGAACTTAATCATAATTCTTACTTGGAATCATTTGCCCAAAGAGATCTAAGCATTGTGGCAAAATATTTTCTAATTATTCATATATTTTCTAGGTAAACCTTTTTAGGCAATTTTTAATTGGAATAGTAACGCCTGATTTTGATCTTTAACTTTATTGTACCATGCATCATAAAGCCATTATTCTCAAAAATTGTTTGCAGCTTCCGCAAAGTGGTCGTTCAGCATATATTCTCGACACGCTAACCATACAGGCACGAATGCCCTTGGGTTATGGAACAGAAGCGACTTTCATGTAAGGCCAGACCTTTCCCATATCACTTTCCTCAGTTGGAGTTCGAAATTGCAGTTTGCTTGTGTGGAATCACCCATTTGGAAGCAATCCTAAGTTAAAGTAAATAGCATTACGAAACCTATTCATATTACTGAAAAAGATTCCTATCAGTCTCTCAAGATCATAAGCAACCTGGGGTAAAGAAAGTCTCTATTAAAGACTCACATATACTGTATGCAGGATATTCCTAAATAAATAATAATAAGAGCATTTCTGCGATCCGCTATCATGCCGCATCTCAAAAACTCTCGAGTGACAGTTCATTTGCATTCATTGCCAGTGGATAGTACCGACGGTGGGAAGAGTATTCAGTCCATCCTAGATGAGAACAACTTTTGGGAAAACAAGGCAATGCTAAATTCAACTCTACTCATATCATTGTGGGAAAATTCTACTACCAGTCCTTCAACACCTTAAACGAAATAGGGTGAATACATATCATATTACTGATTTACTGGTAGTCTCGAAACTCTACTCAAATACGAAAATAAGTAACGTATTTGATTGTTATAGCAAATATACGTTTGCTTCATCGGCAATCCCACCAAAGAATATGATAAAGCAAAGAGGCGTGACCTTCCTTGAAATTCACTTATGTCCTGTGACTTAAGGGTACTCGTGGCAGTGTAGCCGAGTGGTTAGCGTGTCAATCTCCATTTTTGCACTGCCACGGTTCGACTCCCGCTAGGGGTGTT